CTACACAGCGTAAGAAAAACACAAAAGGAGGTTAAAGAATTCCCCTTGCTATAAATAGTTGGTGTACCATAGGTTTTTCTATGCAAACTCACCAGCTGCCATAGTCGAAATCAAATCCAATGGTGATTTCTGTGCCCTTGGTGATCGGCCTCAACGAGTAGATGTACAAATGCAGCATGCCATCTTCAATAACATGTCGCACCTGAAGAGGGTTAAGGTTAGGGGACATTTTAGAAAAGAGTCCAAGATGACAGACGCAAGTTGAACCGTATACAGTAAACTGGTCTGGTTTTCTTGAGTCTCGTTACCTCAGAGTTGGGCGTACAGGAGCGACGGATGAAACGGGCTTCATTTCCAAAGCTCCGAGCGTCCACACACATCTCCACTCCATCAAATTTGGAATAAAATAAGACAAATGGGTATGGCCTAAAAACAAAACAACTTTGGTTGAAATCACCAGACTTTCCTTTAAGCCACTGTAAAGGTTAATTTGTGTGACCTGTACAAACAAAAATGCAACAGTATTCAATTTCAATTGACAGGAAACAAATCCACAAAAATTATTTTGCTGACCTTTTGAAGAAATACCCGTTGGCCTCAAACTGCTGTCGAAGCATAAATTTCCCCTTGTACTCAATGATGAGGGAGTCTGGGGCCAAGTCTCTCACCGCCTTGAGGATCTTCTTGTTTTTCTGAATTTGACTCTAAAAAAGACCAAAGCCAGACATGGGAACAAACTCAATAATTATACTAGGTCCAGGAATGGCTGTACTGACTGGCAGAAACATTTGATAACCACAACGGTCAAACTTTACCTCCACAGGTGGTTTGAAGGAGGCCGGGTGCGTGTTGTACGCAAGGCTCTTGCCGTCGCCTTGCTCTTTAACACGCAACAGGACCTGGACGTCCTCACTGTACTGATTGCTACTGGCCTCCTCATATCGCTCCATCCACGTCTTCATTTTGTTCTCCCACATAGACGGGGGCTCTGTTGGCTCCTGCTCTGGAGCTGCACCCTACGGAAACACAGTAAAGATGTTGAAACAAAATGTTGTTTGTTTTTCCCTCCAACGCGATCTTTAGGACAGTGTTTTTTTTTCCTGGGAGTATTTACCTTTACTCTGGAGGACTTTCTCGAACCCTCCCGGAAAGCCTAGAGCAAGAGGTACATTAATCAGAGTAAATTACCATTCAGTCCACGCCACACCTTTAAGCTGAAACAAGCTTTTACTAGTTGATGTAAACACACTGACCTTTTTGGCTCTTGCCGATGACGCTGGAGGCTCCTTGTCTCCGCTCTTTTTACGTTTTTTATCAGCCTGTTTATTGCCAAGGCGCCCTGTCGTCAGGGTGATGGTGGTGGGCGTGTGCTGAAAAGTGGAGTAAAGTTCTAGAGGCACCTCATCGCCACTCTCTGTAGCACTGGTGTCCCCATCTGCAAAGGCAGACAAAACTCAGTTGTCATAAGGGGGGAATCCTGTACCATGACACTTAAAAACAAAATTTAACATAAAGCTACCACTGTTAAAAAGACATCACATTTCCACAAATTGGTCCAAGGCATATTACAGAGATGGTTGACAACTTGTCCAGCAGGTGTCAGCGTGGCTCACATTTATGCTGTACAAAATATATATAAACCTGCAGGGGAAGAAGCTTTACTCTGTCACTGCCCACAACCAACACTGCTCATTAACAAACCGGACCCTGGCTGCAGCAAAGCAACCAGTAAAGCAGAACAGATGGATTTTTAACATAAACGACACACAACATGTAATCTCTTATAGCTGGGACAGAGATCAGAGAACATTTTGGCAGTATAATTTCTGGAATTCCTTATGTAATCCTTTATATTTTCTGAAATCCTAATACAACTCTGTATAGGGCGAGTTATTTGAACTCAAACAAAAAGACAAGAGATCTGTATGCAGCTGCCACATCATTGTACACTTACCAGACAAGCATTCACGTTTCCTGGTCTGCAGTAGGATGGCCCTCTCCCTGTCCAAATGTCGCGGTTGACAGCGCTCGCACAGGTAGGTCTCCGGAATGTTCTGCCTGTCAATGCCCATGCAGTCTATATGCTGCCAGGCACTGAAGGTGAGAATGAAACACTTTTTTAAAAATAAGCCTTTATGTAATGATGTTTTAATTTAAACGTCAAGAGGAGTCACAGGAGGAACAAAGCTGTGACTCATGCACTAATTAAAATCTTACCAAGGCCCAGGTAAACAGAGAACAACAGGTTTGTGTGGGACTTTGTTTTTAATCTAGCTTTGTACCTGCACTTGTCACAGCAGATCATGTAGCCGTCATCGTGAGTGAAGCCACAGATACAGCGGGTGATGTCAGCACCGTAGCTGCCATCCTCTGAGGTACTGAGTGTGGTGCCCCGAGATGCTTCGTCCTGCCCACCTGGAACAAACAGCCCTCCCTCTCCTTGCCTGATCAGCATTGAGGGAGGAGGGGAGGCCGGCGGCGTGGGTGGGGGCCGCGCCCCATAGTTATGGTCCTAAATGAAGGAAAAGGGTGACACAATGGTTTAATAAGGGAAGTTTTTAGCTTTTAAATAATAGCAATGTGTTTTCATTTGTTGTAGGAAACTATGCAACTGATTCAATTATTTGAGACTAGACATGGACTAGGAACAAAAGAATTGAAACCTAACAACTCTTTAAAGACTTGACTTGGTCCAAACTACAAAGACTTAACACTTGACTTGGAAAATGTGATTTGTGAACATCATTAGTTTCAAGATAAAATATTTGTTCAGATCCTAGAAACCTAAGAGCAAAAATATGCTGAGAATTCCTGATGTTAGCAATTTCTAAGATATAGCTGGCAGCTACAACACAACAAGATTGCCTTTTTGCTTATCCTAATCAAGGTTGTGACTAAAACATTAAAATGAAACACTTTTTGGGGAAAATTAGGCCAGAATTAGGCCACTTACTTTCTCTCCTAAAATTACAAAAATTTAAAATGTTCACATATATATAATATATATAAGAAGGTGTAACAAAACAACTATTCACACTGAAGATAGTCTGTTACGATGTGGAATTTGCAATAATTATGTTCTGTTACATAAAAGAAGAGCCTGGTTCATTACAGTTCAATGTTATTTAAGCCTAAGAGTTAGTCACTGCACATGGAATGATTAACCGAAAGGGATGGGTTAAGTTGTGTGTGTGTGTGTGTGTTATTTGTAATAAGAAAAACAAACTGTGTGTGTGTTTATGTGTGTGTTAGTACTCACAGCATAGGGCAGGCCAATATAACTGTGGGAATGGTGTGAACTGCTGCTGTAGATCTGGTGTGGGTAGCTGGACTTTTCTACGACCACAGGGCTGGCCTCCACCGACTCTGGTCTGTAATGCAGAAACCAACACAAAGAACACACTTTTAAAACTATGACAGCGTCACAGAGAAACTCATTCAGACGGGTGGAGTCTATGCACCTTTAGAGAACACAGAAACGCACAACAAGAGCAGGTGTACCAGAGAAGAGGGGGGTTGTTGACACGGTCAGGTGTTTAGGGTCAGTAAAACTATTAGAAAAACAATTGGTTTTAACTTAAAACCTGACGGGCAAAAAAAAAAGTTACAATCACTCATGAGCCTGGTTTGACATGGCAGACAATCATTAGAAACACGTGTTCTCTCACATTCTTAAAAAACAAAAAAGTGGTTCGGAGCTCGTGCAAAAACCAGTAAAGCCACTTTCCCTCAGATCATAGTGCAGAGAGCGCGAGAGAGAAAGAGAGAGAGGGAGCCTGTTTGGCCGTTTAATACCAACACACCTCTATTACGACACTATTTATCTTTTCTACAGTTGTTGAGAGGGAGGCTCTAGAGGAAGAGGGAAGTGGAACTGGCGAGATGAATGACAGCAGATACAATAACCCCGAATGAAAAAAGCAGCAAAATCATACGACAGACACAGATAATCACAAGACAAATGAAGTGCCTTGGGTGATGTTTAGTGAGGTCAAAGGTTTTGACTATTTGTGTACAACAGATATTTACATGGTGTTATGAGAAATCACTTGATCTCTGTCTTGCCCAAGTCTGAGAGGTCGACAATAAGCTCATTATCCTTAAGTTTAAGAGACGTTGTTGACGTCCTCATTCAACCAAACACACAACAGACCAAATAACTCAGCAAACTCAGTGACTGCCAGCAAGTTTCTACCAACACGGTGAACACATGGAGAGAAGCTCACTAACGAAACTGCACAGCATTTTATGTCTAGTGTAAGCCTAAAAAGTAAAGATTAAGCAGTGAACGTGGATGAGTTAAAGTCTCTAGCTAATGATTTAACTATTTCAAAGACATTCAAACCAGGAGTGAAAAAGGCCAAAGCCCAGGAGTGGACCTGGACACAACTTCAATATTCTAAATTCAGCACAGTTCCATCTACACTCACCTCTTTTGCCTTAGAGAAAGCCTCTGACAATGTGCCTTTCTGACTTCTCTTGCCTGTGCTGCACGCCGTAAGAGCACGGTGCAACACTTCCCGTGTTCTGCCGCTCAAGTATGCACTGTCAAAGTGAAAACGTAACTGCATGCAATACATGAGGTCTGGAGGCGGATCCAGGAGAAGGTGTGAGCTTCTTTTGAAACATGTGTACACAACACATTAACAGGCTCCCAGATAAATTTGGCCAGACAAGTAGAGAGATCGGGGAGGGCAAAGAATAACCACAAGTAAATCAACAGTTTCTATTAAAAGAGTATAATACCCAGCCATAAAAAAAAGTAAAAGTTAAAGAGTGATCACTATCAGTATGACCAACGTGGGGCATGCTGCTCAATATGCAGGCCTGTTCAAAAGTTAGGGTTCTTAGTCATCACAAATCTGTCAGTTAATTTACCTCAATGATTTATCTGACTGACAATTTACCCATGATTAAACTGACACCACAACAACAGAATTAATATTATGTTAGTTAACCTCATTTTTCAGGGGCCACATCACCGACACAGTTCCCCCTTGAGGGGCAGGTTCTAAATGCAAGACTGTATAGCTGTTACTACTTCATAACTAATTATTAACATGTTTCTGCAATTGATCATTATTTACTCAAATTACAAATATTGTGCACTGCTTTGTGTAATAAAAAATAATTTGGGGTCAAACAAAATAACTTTTTTCAGTTTTTGGGCCGCAGGGAATAAAAGAAGAGGAAATACAGCAGGTTTTTCAAGCCAGAGCCACATTTATTGGAATATCCTTCCTGTAGTATTTCACGTGTGTCACACAGCAATTTGAGTTGCTCTAAAACAATTTGTTTAGGCAAATTTTTATTAAGTTTATTAAGGATGATAAATAAATGTCACAATTTCTTACAGTTTTTATTCCAATAATACCATGTCAGGGTATAATAGCAATACTTGGGTACATGTACAACTGTTACATGTCAGGGTATAATAGCAATACTTGGTTGAGTCCATTAAAAATAAATAAATAAATAAATAAAAATCCAAAAATGTTTTGTTGCTTTTTAAAAGCTAGTGTTTCCCCCGATTTTTCCAGCCATTGTTTTTGGATCATATTCCAATTTGGCTGACTCGGTGTAAACTAAGTGGCGCTGAAACTACTGTAAGAGGATTAATCTTCTTTTGTTATATCTCTGACATGCTGCACACCTCTTTTGAACTTTCCATGACACAGACAACTACAGTACATACTAAGTGTTTATCCTTACATGTGTTTGGCTTAAAATGTTTGAAATTGTTTGTTTGGTTTTCCAGCATTGTCTATGTTTGACCACAAATGAAAGCTAAAATAACTGCATGCAACTAGTACAGTTCCATGTTGACATAAACTATAGAAATGTTAATTCATTCTGCACAGCCCTTGAGTGCCTGTGTGTGTGAATTTTTGTTAAGAAACAGGAGTAAATTTACTAATAAACTAATAAGGATTTCTCATTCATATGTCGGCTTCTATGAAGTAGAAATGGAGGGGCAACAGAGTCAAAGTGCTACAAAGAAAAAGCATTGTGAACACGCAGTCTGTTGTAACGGGTGTTAACAAACACCAAAAAGTAAGGCCAGTGTGACACAAAAATGACAAAGACTACGGATATGCGGGTCTTCGAATCTTGATAGCGGGAAAAATGTTACCGCTGACCTATTTATAACCCATTAAAGGAAGATATTTGACAAAGAAACAGATGTCATTTAAATGCAACCACCTGCTGAGACAGGATGAAGAGGGAGAGCAGACAAGTCGGGAGAAATCAAGAGGAAAAAGAGCAACACTGAACAGCCAAAGGCAACGCCTTCGCTCCTAAAGAGCTCTCACTATGCTGCCATGGCAACTCTATGGGCTCTATCAGCGTATGTGCGTGCACATTCTGCGCAGTGTTGCTGTAGACACAGACACACAACGTTAACCAACAGCTGGTCACGCTGCTGCTGCAGACTTCAGGGGGTGTAGAGCGGATGTGACGTGCTTTCTCTGGTGAGTAGCCAGCAAGCTCACAATACTACAAACAGAATAATAGCCACGGCAGGGTATTTGTGTCTGTGTGTGGCCAGGATCGAACCAGCGCAACAGTAGGTGGACACCCCCTGTCGCCTTACAGATGGAGGTGGGCTCATATCCTGGATGGACAAAGTCAAGTCGAGGACGTCCTCTTTCCCCAAGTGGCCACTCTGTAGGGGCAGCGCTGTTTAAAACGCCATATCTATATGTGAGGACCACCTGTCACTCAAGGCAGTGACTATGGCAACAAGCCCTGCGCAGTGCAGGGTGGGATAAGGGGAGGGTGGAGGTGCAAACGCCATGGCAACACAAGCTGTCAGGCAAACAGTACTGGTGAAGGTAGGGGGGCGGGCTCTCCCTCTGTTAAAGAGACAGGAGGCTCCAACATAAGCCGATGACGCCTGTTTTTTTCTTTAGTCATACGAAAACCTCCTGCTTCATTTATTTGACCAAAAAAGCTACGGCAATGTCCTTGAAAAGACTATGGAACAAGGAGGGGCGATAGGAGGCTTGTTGCCATGGTTTCACGCAGCCTTTCTGCTTGACTGGCTCAATGCAGTGTGTACACATGTGCAAACATTAAGCCAGAGCATGAGGGGAGGATGAGAGGAAATCGTGTGCTCTTTTCTATGTTCTGGCACACTGGCCATATTTATTTAATTTATTGACACTGAATGCTAAGTACACGTCCAACCAACAGCGAGACTGAATTGTCCATAACAAAGGACAGTTGAGGAGAACCAACAATTGTACTAAAATATCCTTTTCTAGTCCTGCTAACATGGTAAATGTGAGAGAGTAAATGTGGGAAAAAAGAAAAAAAATGTCCTCAAACCTTGAGGGTAAATAAAGAAAACAAAGGTGCTTCTGTCATTTTTGATGGCTTGTTGTATAAACAAAGAAGGCGAAGAGACCAAGGAAATCCAGGGAAACCATATAGTATGTTTCATGTGCTTGTGAACAAAACCACTAATGGGTAGGAGATGATATCTACAGCCGAGAAAGATGTTGACAATTTAGGGCTTCAGGAAGATACAAAAACAAGGTTGAATGTCATATTCAAGAATGTAAATAACAGAACAGGAATTGTGAAAGGAGCAGAAAGGGGGAGGGCATTCATGGTACTTACTCTGAGCCTGCCGCCATGTCCAAGTATGAGGTGTCTGTTGTGTCCACCCCCACTGGAATGACTATGCTCATGACGTTCTCTGCTGATCAGTTCTTGTCCTACTGAGTCCAGAGAATGGTAGTCCAAAACACTGAGGCATGCCAGCCACAGCAGTCATTGCAGACATCTAAGTGCATCCACAAGGCCTAAGACAGGAAGAACCAAGAGAACAAATTAGTCATTCAATTGGAGGGTAACATTTTCAATGTGTCTTTACTTTTATTCAGTGTATAAAACATTTGCTGGGTCACATTAACCAAACCTTAACCAACAAAAATCATTATGAAAACTAAGTACTACTTCTAGTACATTTCAATGCATGATTCCAACTCATATACATATCTGACAAAAAAAGGTTTCTCAAAAATTACCTCATGACTTGGTTAGGGGAATTTATGAGCAATTTCTCAAGCATTCTGCACACACAACCTAGCTACAAAAGGCTTCAGCTGTGTGACAGCTCCCACCACTAAGGGGAGCAAGAGAACACAGAGCAGCCAGCCGCCATGAAAGAAGGCAGGGGAAAAAAAACAGAACAAAACACAGAGGCCATTTTTGCCTCTTGGAGTCACTGCTCCTTTCTTAGCACCGAGAGAAACACACACATCCTGTTAAAAGATGCACAAACAGCTTCACTACGAGTGCACACCCACACATGTTCTTGACAGGAAGTTTATGTTTTACCACTAAAACAGACTACAACTGTAAAAGCAGATGAAATGTGAACAAATGTCTTTAACAAAGATTAATTATAAAGAATGGAGCACAATCTTCTTCTGCTTCCACGTAGGAATGCTTTAAGAAGTCACAGAAGAGAAATGGTATTGTTATGAACATTCAGCTGTGTATTTGTGTACCATGTAAATCCAGACATGAGCATATGTCAGTGTGGCTGCGCCTGATACAGAGAGCTCTGTTGATAAGCAGGATTAGTGGGAGGGACAGATGCCGAGACAAAACAGGCTGGAGGTCACACCTCCGCCTGCTCATGAACTGGGGCCACACAAAAGCTCTGACAATCTTAGGGTGTAGGTGGGAAATTGATGGCAAGGTGAGGATACTCCACACACCACTTCATGGCACAAAATGCCACCACTTACTAGGCATCAGCTTATCACATACTTTAATCACCACAACAGCTGTATTTTAGGTAAATGCATTAACATCCCTTGTTTTTTTTCATCCTTTTAATAGAACCCTGTTTTACCTGCCCAATTGGTTTAGGACACTGTCAACCCTATTTCAAACAACGAGTTGGTGTCAAACCCTGGATGACTTTTTATTTAGAGTTGTCAAAGTTATCAACTTGACTTTTGCTTTTGGTGCAGTCCACCCTACATCGCAATACAAGCAAACAGCAACAGAATGTCATCACAACCTGTCATCAGATATCACCACCTCAAAACCTGCAATTACAGGTCAAATAAACACAAGTGAGAGTCCACTAAGGTTGGTGGAATTTTTGTTCTGAAAGCAACCAAAAGACATCTCTGAACTCTGAATCGTTGCTGTCAGGGGAATCTCTTGGCTTTTCACACAGTTTCAAAAGATTTCCTAAATAGCAGCAAAATCATGAGTAGTTTCAATTACTAAATCACCCATATGTCCTTTTTCAGCCAGCAGGACTGTGGAGAGGCTCACAGACAAGACAGCTGTCAGATCCAGGCCTAATTAATAGATGGAAGACGACCCCTCTGTTTCAGTTTCTGCTGGCCAAGACTAGCAACTGGATCACTTTGCATCTTTATATTCTGTAAACTGTTTTTACAGCATGCCTATGCAATTGAAAATGGTCCATTTTATAATGGTTACTGACGTAACAAGAGCGCTCCTTTCATGAAGGATATGGCAGCTTTCCAAAAACACAAACCACCCCTCTCCCCTTTTGTGTTGTCTGAGAGGCCCAGTATGCTCGAGCCTTGGCAAAAATCTTGCTTCCATAGTAGCCTGTTTGGTTCCACGTCCACTTCAAACCCAGTGCCTGTGGGGGGAATCCTGGTGTCACTACGAAATAATGCATGCACAGGCTCATGTTCAAACACACACACACACACGTTTAAATCTCTCTTCTCCCAACACACAAACACAAGGATAACCCCTGGCTGCATCATCTGAAAACATTCCTCTATATGGAAGCTCTCCAAGTGGCTAAACAAACACAGGTTGAAGTCCTTTGCCTAAAAACCATGTATAGTGCA